CTCCCTCAGTACTGACCCTCCGTCAGTGAGGCACTCCCTCTGTACTGACCCTCTAACAGTGAGGCACTGCCTCAAAACCAGAGCGTTCATATTGAAACAAATCCCTGCAGGCTCTGGAGATCTGAAACCAATGCAGAAGGTGACGGAGCTGATCATGCAGTTACCCTGCATGAGAGAGTAACAGAGTTTACTTCCACAGTTCCAAAGTGGTTTCTTCACTGGACTTGAAACACTCGCTCTGTTTGTCTCTTCGCAAGATGCCACCTGACCTGCTGAGTTTCTCCAACAGCTTTCTGCTTTCGTCGCCCAGCTGGAACAGCCAGGTGGGCTCAGTCCCATCCCTGGCAGCTGGGTCAGTATCTCCTGGGCAGGGTCAGAATTGCTCAATCCATGAGTGCTGTTGGGTCAGTTGGCACCCCACCAGACGAGATTGGCACCGTCCTTGGGTGGTTTACTGGGAGGCGACCAGCCAGCCCAATGAGGGGGTCAACTCCTGGTGTCGGCATGTCTGCCATCGCCAGTGCTCACTATTTCTTCTTGTGTTCCCACCATCTCTCCGCACTGCTGTCCACCCCCCCACCCCTCTTCCCGTTCCCCCTCACCAACCTCCCCCCCCTCCCCCACTCCCAACGCCCACGCCCTGGCAGACACCTACATCCAGAAGCTGAAGAAGTCCTACAGTGACTCCTGGTCTCGCCGGAAGCTGGGCTCCATCAACAGCGAGCTCCATGACGTCCAGAAGATCATGGTGACCAATATCGAGGAGGTGCTGCAGCGAGGGGAGGCGCTCTCGGGTAAGCCTGCGCGCTGGGTACGGGCTCCTCGGAGGGGCCCGGGTCTGGATGGACTGGGGGTTGCGGGTGGGTTGGCAGATGGCTTCCTCCCCCCCGATACTCCCCCCACCCCCACCCTCGCCGTGCCAGCCCAGTGCGGGTGGTGAGCATTCACCCAGCCCCATGACGGTGGGTTCCACGTGTTTGGGATGGTGCTGCTTGAAATGTCCGAGGATTCGGGTTCGGAAACCGTGATTGATGGTCGCCAAGGGGCAAGAAGCATTTGGAAGGCCTGTAATCTTTCTCCGCAGTCAACTGAGTGACGAAGCGACTGGAAGCCGTAGGAGCAGGAGTAGGCCATTCGGCCCGTCAGGTCTGCTTTGCCATTCGATGAGACCGTAGCTGATCATCCTCAACCCCACTTTCTGGCCTTTTCCCCCCATAACCCTCGGTCCTCTCTCAGATTAAAAATCTACCAATCTCAGCCTTGAATATACTTACTGACGCAGCCTCAACAGCCCTCTGTGGGAAAGAATTCCATAGATCCATTACCCGCTGAGAGAAGAAATTCCTCCTCATCTCTGTCCCAACTGGGCGACCCCTTGTTCTGAGGTTATTCCATCTAGTTCTCGACTCTCCCACAAGGGGAACCAACCTCTCTACACCTACCCTTCAAGTCCTCTAAGGATCTTGTATGTTTCAATAAGGTCACCTCTCATTCTTCCAATGGATACAGGCCCAATCTACACAACCACTTCCCGAAAACCAATCCCTCCATCCCTGGTATCAGCCTGGTGAATCTTCTCTGGACCCCCTCCAACCTTTCCTCAGACAAGGGGCCCAAAACTGTTCCCAGTCTCCCTGCTGTGGTCTGACTTCATGCCTTGTCTAGTTTTAGCAAAGCCTCCCTATTTTTGTCCTCCATTCCCTTGGAAATCAAGTCCAAACTTCCGTTTGCCTTCCCTTTACCAAACGAACTTGGAGGCCAGCTTTTTTCTGATTCAAGCACGGGGATTCCCAAATCCTTCGGTTCTGTAGCTTTCTGAATCTTTGAGTAATATCCAGCTCCGTATTTGTCCTACCCATGGAGATAACCTCACATTTTCCCACATTGTATTCCATCTGCCAAGTGCTTTTTTTTGCCCACACCTGTAACCTGTGCAGACATTTGTGTCATCCACAAACTTGCCTTCCCACCTCATTTTGTAGAAAACGACTTTCCTCGTCCAAGTCATTGATATCTGTCATGAATAATTATGGCCCCAGTACCGCTCCCTGTAGCACAGCCCTAAGTTGCTTTGCTGAAATTCCGCCCCTTATCCCAACTCCTCTGCCTTCTGTTGGTCAGCAAATCCATGTTACTATCCAACCTCCAAGAACGTTCAAATGCTTCTGCGATAAATACTCGAGGAAGTATTAGATTGCAGGGCAGTGGGGACTGATTGGATGGTTTGAGCCATGAGCTAGCATGGGGGTGAGCTGGGCTGAAGGGCCTGTGCCTGTGTTGTTTGATTGTGCGGTGGTTGGGCAATAAGAGATGTGTGAGGGGTGGGAGGCTCTCTCTCTCTCTCTCTCTCTCTCTCTGTGTGTGTGTTCTGAGTTCTCTCCCCTCATCCACAGCGCTCAACACTAAAGCCAGCAACCTCTCCACCCTCTCCAAGAAGTACCAGCAAGATGCCAAAGAGTTGAACTCCCGGTCACGCTTCACCAAAGCAGCAACCACGGGTATCTGCCTCTTTATGGTCATGCTCTACTTCTGGTGGTTGTGACCAGAGCTGCCACTGGACAGACGGATGGACACGGTGGCGACACGGGAATCAAGAAACGCGGACCTTCACCTTGCAACGTTCTGGAACACTAACCAAACTGTACAGCCGGGGCAACAACGTCAAAACGGACTCTCAAACATTGGACCGTCCTGGGCGCTCGTCTTTTTTTTTTGTAGGCGTTTCTCATCATTGAGCAGACGGCGGAGGTGGGGATGAGGGGATACTGGGCGCTACCGAACGCACAACACACCCAATTTCATTAAAAAACAAACTGGCATCGAGTGCGCACAGGGCAGGGTCAGCATGGGGTTAGATACAGAGTACAGCTCCCTCGACACAGTCCCCCATCAAACACTCCCAGGATCAGGGCAGGGATTAGCTACAGGGACAGCATGGTGTTAGATACAGAGTAAAGCTCTCTCTACAATGTCCCCCAACAAATACTCCCAGGGACAGGGCAGGGATTAGCTACAGGGACAGCACGGGTTTAGGTACAGAGTACAGCTTCCTTGACACAGTCCCCATCAAACACTCCCAGGGCAGGGATTAGCTACAGGGACAGCACGGGGTTAGATACAGAGTACAGCTCCCTTGACATTGTCCCCATCAAACACTCCCAGGGCAGGGATTAGCTACAGGGACAGCACGGGGTTAGATACAGAATAAAGCTCTCTTTACAATGTCCCCCGACAAACCCTGCCAGGGCAGCACGAGGTGAGCTCTGAAGTAGCTGTACTCTGCTCTGGCTTCAGTCTACTGGAGACTGCAGGGAGAGGCTGGGTGTCCAGGTCTGTCTAGGACTTGGTCTGCCTCTGTTTCAGGCAGGGAGTGTAGATCTGCCGTGAGTATGCAGTGGATGGTAAACCGGATTACAAAAGCGGGGACTTTTGTTTTTGTTTAGCAATTGTTTTGTTGTCTCATTTCGGACTGGGGCAGACAGACTGATTCAGGGGAAGCGACAGTGACCTTACTTAAACAGCACCAGAGCCCTTTCCCTGATCCCCAGTCTGAATGGTTGTCATTTTGAGACTCGGTCATCAAGAATAGTCTCATGAACTCGTGGTTCTTTGTAATTTTGTTTGGATCAACCTCCTCACCCACATCCTGTTAAATTGATGCAAAATACTGCAAATGCTGAAAGCCTGAAATTAAAACAGAAATTGCTGGAGAATCTCAGCATGTCTGGCAGCATCTGTAGAGAGAAAGAAAGAATTAACGTTTCAAATCGGTTATGACTCAAAGTCCAATGAAGAGTCGTAATGGATTTCAAAAGTTAGCTACATTTCTCTCTCTCTCTCTCTCTCCAAAGATACTGCAGGGCTGTGTTTGAACTAGCATTTTCTGTTACTTTTTATTTCCGTATTAAATCAGATTTTCTTTTGAAAAATAAAGAAATCTTCTGAAAATCCGGTTCACCTTGAGTCGGGATTAAACCTCCCGCCACCTACAGCTGGGTAGACTTGCTCTTTTATGGTTTGGTAAGGATACAGGATAATAATTCTTCAGGATTGGTGTTACTCTCTACCAAAGTTCATCTGTCAGCCCCCACACACAGTAAGTGGAGGACTCATCTGCACATACTGTTGGCATCGTCACCTAGGGAACACTAAGTACAAAGTGGTTCCAATTACAGTATGGTGCATCCAGTAGTGTTACACCCCTGTAACACACAGTGTGTTCTATAATATATCCTGGAGTGTTATACCCCCGTAACACACAATGAGGTATATACTGTATCCAGGAGGTTTAAACCTCTGTAGCACACAGTGTGTTATATAATATATGCAGGTGGATCATGCCCCTGTAACACACAATGTGTTGTATAATATATCCAGGAGTGTTAGACCCTGTAACACACAGTGTGTTATATAATATATCCAGGAGTGCTTTATCCCTGTAAC